AATTAGCTATCAAAATTATGAAAATTACCAAGAGAATGTGTAAACTTTAACTGCTAAGCATAAAGAGCTGCCATTTTCGTTGATACTACGCCAAGTCTTTGAATTACTTGAAGATTTGCGATCGCTTAACATTGCAATTTTCGAAATATTTTATAAATTTTTAATTACCCATGAAACAAGCGCAGAAGAAGTATTATTGAAACTTCTTTTATTCTCAACTACCCATGTAAAAATGCGAATGAACGAAGAAATAAAAAATGGAAGATTATTTTAAACATAAATTATTGATACCAGAAAAATCTGATAATCTAACATCGACCTCGATAAATTTTTTTCATTCTAAAGGAGACTTTGTTCCTTTTTCCGTTCTGTACCTCAATATAAAATTTTCTCTGAAAATCTGGCGTTTTCATTGGAAATTCATTTTTCGTGTTTGATATTTATAGAGATGCAACAATAGAAAAGATATGCAAGATATGTAAAGATTGTCGTTTCCGACGTGTAGAGAAGCGTCCTTTTCTGCGTCTGTATACCTGCGGCCGTTTATTTACGAGTCCTTACGGGACACTGGAGTCAACGGCAGAGAACGTGAATAGGTCCTTTGCGGGAAAGAACAAATGAGGGTAGAAAGGCAGAAAGATGGAAAGATGGGCGAGGACGTATACGTGCAAGGTGATTATACAAGGAGCAAACATTATACATCTGCTTGTCGCTATATCTACTGCAACGCGTACCTACTATTGCACAACGTAAAAATTACATTTCAACATTGTCCATACGTGTAAGTCATTATTTCACTTCATTCCGCTATATGCACTACGGGTACACGTGTGTTACACGGGTGGGCTATCATTAAGAAACGTACGTATTATCGTAAGTTCATCAAGATTATATTCACTCCAATATATCCGTGTCTAATCATTCATACGCGTAATTGCAGTAAAGTTTAACGCAGCAATGACATTTTACGTCATCGTACGTCAAAGCTTCATCAACGTCATTTACTTAATAGCACATTTCGCTTTAGCCCATACATCCGTAGCTCGCATCTCATGCCAAGTCGAAGGGATGTTATACCGAAAAGCGACGGCGCGAGACAAGAGGATTTCGCTTCCGAGAAGCGGACTTGCGCGCGTGTAAAACATTGCTTAAAATCATGCTTCCCAGCTACGTCTTTCGCTGAAGGACCAGAACAATGCTCCCCGACCGACCACGCGACTGATGGCTTCCTTCTTCCCTCCGTCTTGCAGTTCATTGCCTCTCTATACTCGTTGTTTTTTTTTAGATCCTACGTACAGGACCCCAGCTTTCGGATAGCTGTTTGTTTGACGCCTCTGATATCGATTTCATCGCTGCCCGTCCAATTCCTTTAACTGTCTTATTCCAAGATAAGTTTTTATCTCTCTTGTGTCGCTCGAAAGTCTTTTTGTTTTTTCAAAAATCACGGTCGGACGTATTACCGATTTCGATTTTGTAATTAAACCGAATGTATCATGAAATTTTACGTAGCTTCACAACGCCCAATAATTTTTCTCGCGACTTTAAAATTCGTCATAACACATTCTAATGTTGCGTAGAAAAAGCTTCCTCCAGTGAAAGTCTCATAAATAAATCAGTACGATGTACAAGCGAATAGTTATCTGAAGCCCGAATAGTTTGCATCCGCGAATTTTGATCAAGGGAGCTGATTTTACATACGCGGTTTCACAGTCCATTGCCATGGCGTAGTGCGTGCGCATAAAACTTTAAACTTTCCTTTTACCATAAATCTGCATCTTTTGCTTACTTCATTTCTTCGTAAAATGCCTTTTGGTATTCTTCAAATAAGCGGCCACAACTGCTACATTCATTAAGCTGCATACTTCCATGCAAATATAAAACCTCTCTAAGTATCGAAGAGGAAAACCGTGTTATAAAATTATTATTCAAACAATAAGCGATTTTCGAGGAAGTTGAGTTGGAGAAGAAAAGGAGCTTGCACGAAGCACAAGTTCAGAGAAGCGGATTGGAAATTGAATAAATTGAAAGCCGAAAGAGTTGCGTTGTAAAGTGCAAAGGCGCGCGTTGAATAGTGAATGCGAACGCGCTGCATGAATTAAAAAAAATGTGCAAAGTCGAGCAAAACAGTTGCAGTGTATAGCATAGTTTCCGCGCTAATATAATTCGATATAGAAATTAGGATAATGGAGGAGCGCTTGGTCACGCCTGCGTAAGCTCGGAGCGCGGGCACGGCGTGCGAGTGCAGCGCGCGCAGACGTAAAATCAATGACTGGAAAGGAAGGGTCTGCGGCGGCTGGCGGCGCTGCGCCTAGTTGAAAGCAAATGAACGAAGCTTCGCCTCGTAATGCAGCGCGAAAATCTAGCTAACGAGCCAACGCTGTCTTTGGATTGTTACCGTGCGCTCGTCTCGTTCGTTTCAACAGCCCTGTTTGCTAATTACTCAATCGACGGCCGAGTATCTGCCCTGTTCGTGCCATCTCGCGGACGAGAGCTTCGTATTCGTTATAATAGATTGTTCGATGGAGAGACACACACCGCCAATTGAACATTGGTGCTTGACCACGAGTATCGCTATCCCCCAAAGCGAAAGGCGAGGAAATGAGAAGAAAGCAAACTACCAGATCAGAAAATAAGGGATGTCGGAGTGATATTCCGATATCTAAGGGGAATTGCCATGCAGTGAAGTGGAGCACTGGAGAAGGGTGAAAAAATCCAAACGGAGCATCGAGCGAGAAGGAGAGAGAGAGAGAGAAGAAAAGAGAAGCTCTAGAACGGGCGCAGATAAACACGAGGAGAGACAAAGTGAGAGGATAGCTTGGGGGCCGCCGCCGCCAGTTGAGAACTGCTAATTATGTAAATTGCCGGTGTAGCAAATTACCCTCACAGTTTGCGTTCATTCTACACACAATCCCCGCGCGCGCGAGAGAGAAAGAGAGAGAGATACAGTGCAGCATGCGCCCGACGGATTCCATCCACCTCGCCCGGATACTGTTACGCTCGCTCCACAGCCGAACCAGACTCTCTCGTCGTATAGCTGGAGGCAGCCCTAGGCTAACTCCGAGCTCTCTTCTCGTTTTCGCTCTTCGCGAGTTTTGGTATTTCGGCTCGGCGCGCACAGGCCACACTACTCGAGCACATCCGCGACCGAATCGTCGCGGCTCGGCTCGGCGTGCATTCCGCTCCAATGACTGCTTGATTTTCACTCGAACCAGAGTCCAGGCGATAAATCAGCGAGCGGCGAACGGTACTTTTTAATTGCATCACCGCACCGCGAGCCACGCTTGAAAAGACGTAAATATTAAATTATAAGCGCGCGTGCTCCGCATGTGTCGACAAGCAAGAGACTTGCGATGATTGCGTACGGCAATTGAAATCTTTAATGAATATTGGCTTCTCCAAACTCAGTCGTTGCCGACGCAAGATCGATTCTTGATTTGTAGAGAAGTCAGAAAAGAACTCAGCCAAGGAACAATTGATTAAAAGCTCGAGCGCGCAGGCATGAGAATGATAGGCAAGCCTGATTAACATTTCAAAAGGCCTCTTACGAGCGCTGCCAAATAATCGGATAATCGCGTCGGAGCGCCGCATAAAAAAGGAAGAAGAAGAAGACGAATCGGAACGGATAGGCGAGACAGGCAGCAAAAAGACGAAGAAAGAAGCGAGGACGAGAGAGAGAGAGAGAGAGAGAGAAGAGGAAACGGTCCAATTAGCTCGTGCGATGCCGAGCCGCACTCTTTCGCAATAACAATTAGCCCTCGCGGCTACTGAATATTAATCGGCGCTGCTGCTCCGCTGCTGCGGCGAGACACGACGTCATTTCACGCACGCGCACGCACACACCGGACGCGACCTCTCACCCAATGGTCCTATAGGCATAGCTCGCGTAACACCCTAGCAGTGCCATTAATTAATTAGCGCGGTCCGCAACTGCAGTGCCTTTTGTAATCGTTTGTCGGGCGCGCGGCCGTTTTACTGGCGCTCCTCGAAATTGGCAACTCGACACTGTCTGCGAGAGAGCGAACACGGATTTTCTAATTGTGTCGGTGATGAATGGGAGACGCTTATAGCGGCTCTCTCTCTCTCTCTCTCTCTCTCTCTCGCATGCCCGCGCGAAATTGCTTACTGGCGACTCCGGCGCGCGTTTCGCCCGACACGTTATAACGAGCCCGAATGCTGATTGATTTTATCGCGATAATTGATAGCCGATAAAAACGACCAGATTTTCGTTAGTGCATTAATCGAACACGAGGCGAGTTGCTTTATCAATTTTGCTTGCTTTTTCCTAGTCCCTCGCGAGAACCCTTCGCCTGAATATTGCGAAAGACTTTGGCGCAGCCTGCCAGACGCAAAGTTAGCCGCGATGCCGATATTCACAGGCGCCGAGCGAAATTAGCGGTGACTTCTGCGAGGAGCGTGAAAAGCCGAGGCAAGCGCGATGCCGCCTCTGCGAAACGTCGGCCGCGAATCACGAATCGCGCTCGGTTAATTGCAGAGAAGCCGTGGGGGCATCTGCCTTGCTCGCCGCGCCCGCTCTCTCTCTCTCTCACTCGCGGCCTAAGTGATTGGCCTTACGTATCCTCGCCACCGAAGCTGCACGGCGGTAGACTACTTTTTTCTCTCTCTCTCGCTCTCTCTCGTCGATCGCCATCGCCAGCTGATCAGAATTGTGGCTCCCGCTGAAATTTACAACGAGCGCTTCGCTCGGGCGTTTGTATCGAGTGCAGCGTGTCGCACGATAACATCTCGCCAATGTTTCAATCGCTGCTCTCGGTAGCTCCTATATTTTTTGAGTATTCCTTTCACTTTCTCTCTGCAATTAATACAATTCAGCAGCTGAGAGTCGAACGTGTCGCGGTCGTGTTGTAAATGCTTTCGAAATTGAATTGATTGCACGGTATGCAGTGGACGAATCGATGGGGGAGCGCAAGGAAGGGGTTGGATGGAACAAATCAATCGCCAAGACACAAGAGTTTCATGGAGATGAGATATAATTTATTTGTTTCGCTATAATGTCGCTAGAACACGAACTAAAATCTTTTGTTGATCGTCTTACGGATCTACGCCTCGAGTGCGTCGAGTGGAATCACATTTCGATATTTACACACTATTTACACGCGCGAATACAGGTCCGATGGTGCGGCCGCGCCGCGAAACCGAGATGTCGCATTACATCATGATAATTAATTGTATTCAATGTCGATTTCGCGCCGAGCATCGAACGCTATACATATATAATAATATATATAATATGGACTTGGCTCTAAATAATTTAAGTAACTCGTGAATCGCGTTATTGTTGTGACATCGATTGTTAAAAAGAAATACTGCTGCTCGCTGTACGCAACAACAACGCCGGGCTTACGAAGGTAAATACAGGTTTTAGTATACAACACTGGGCTTCGGAGAGGAGAAATAATAATAATAATAATAATAATAATAATAAAACGTTTGGCACTGTGCTCGCGCTTTCGTTCGCTAGTATGGCAGTCTGGATTTCGTGAGATACGCACGCGATTCACCGTAGGCTCCGCTGCGGCTATATGTACAAATCGAATTAGCCGTCCTCTCGCTCGTATTGCTGGCACAGTCAGGCGTCGATCGCTCTTCACTGAGAAATCCACGATACGGCGCGTCGAAGGGACAAAAGAGAGAGAGGGAGAGAGAGAGAGAGAGAGAGAGAGAGAGAGAGAGAGAGAGAGAGAGACAGGGGGGAGGAAGAGAGGATTGGGGAACTCTGTACATTGTCGGTTGCATTGTCGTCGATTTGAAGGAACTTGGCGGCGGCGAAGGAGTCGCCGCTCCGAAGAGAAGAGGAAAAGCAGCTGGGAAATAGACGCGAAGCTTCCGCTGCTGCTAGATACGTATCAGCGTATCCGCCGCATAGAAGAGTCGACGTAGAGTGACTGCTGGTGCCCGTGGATAAAAGTCTAGTCCAGGCACAGGACATCCAGCTACGCCTCCGAGCCGCTGGAACAGTCCTCGGGGTCGATCGGCTCGTCGTCCTCGTCGTGCTCGTGATAATCGGCCGTCTCCTGCTGCCACTTGCTCACGTGATGCGTGTTCTTGTTGCTCGCCCCGTTGCCGTTGTTATTTGAGTTGGAGTTGCCACCGCTGGCACTGTCTCTGCCACCTCCGCTAGACTGCTGTTGGGCTTTCGCCTCTTCCTCCTGCTGCATCCGCTTGTGCTTCGTCCGTCGGTTCTGGAACCAGACTTTCACCTATAACACACACAACCAGATAGTCTTTCTTTAGTCACTTTGATCTCGAGTACTTTTTACGTATAGATTAACAACGATCTATAGCGGCCTACTGATTCGCAATATCGCAAGAGACGAACGAGAAAATAGAGCGGCTGCAAGAGCAGGCAGAGCGACGGTCATAAACGACTATATTTCACGTCGTGCAAAAACAAAAGAAGAGAGAAAGAGAAATACACGGGCTCACTTGACGAGAAATTGATGGAAAGTTGCACAGAGCGCGAGGCAAATGCGAAAGAGGGGCGTTTTATTTTTCTCTTCATCTCGTTGTCATCCCCCCGCGGACGTGTCATCGATCGTGCAAGCGAGCACGCGCACCGAATTAGAGCTCTTGTTAAATTAAGTGGCAACTAGTTTAGAACTCGCCCCCTCTTTCTGCCGACTGAAAGGGCGACCCAAGTTTTCCATCGAAAAAGCCTGTTGAATGAAGCGAACGATAGACCGGGGGGGGGGGGGGAGAAAAAAAGAGAAAACGATGGAGAGTCGCAAGCTAGAGCATGGCTCCAACTTAGCATAATGGCACCCCCCCGAGCGAGCATTATCGTATCATAGCAGCGGAAAGAGGAGGGGGCAGGTTGTGCGTGTGCCAGCCAATCGCGCCACTTAGCTGACGATTAACTCGAGCAAATAGAACCGATTACTCGCGTGCGCTCTTTCTCTCTCCCGTGGCCCTCTTGCGCCATTTGGTAATCGCACCCCTGGCGCAGCGAAGAAGGGAGAGAAACGGCAGCTCGGTCGGTCGCTCTCGTCGCCATGGCGACGCGCTTTGGATTGGCGCGCGTGGATTCTGCGATCGAATGCCACCCCAGAGACGCGGACACACCCCGGGACGGGCAGGCAGGCAGGCAGGCAGGCAGGCAGGCAAGCCGCCCCGACGGCCCGAATTTTTGTCGACGAGCGATAAGTACCATCGGCTCGAGCGGCTTTTAGCTTGCGTCAACCGTGCTCTCGAGAGGAATCACATTTTCCTTCCATTCTCAGCGACGGCGTGCAGTGGGATGTGCACGCGAGCCCCTTTCAAAACTCATCTTGCGAGGCGAGCGAAGCCGAAGAGAGCGTTGAAAGCGATCGCGGCGAGTCTGCTGCTGTAAATATGGCGCGCCGAGCAAGTTTATCGCTTGTGGCCGCGCCTCGGAGAGATACAATTACGAATGATGATTTAGGTGGGCATAATTGGCGGAAAAGAACGTACGGCGATGGGTATCGAGGTAATTACGGATTAATAAACAATTAGGAGCGATCGGCGCGAGGCGGACTTTCGGACAGACTGTCCGAAAGTGGCAGCGGATCGAGTGCTCTGAATACGGTGTCATCGCGTATCGGCTTCTGCGCTTAATCGAATGCCGCGAACAAACAGAGCCAACGAGTTATCGGCACGTAGAGATCCATTAAAAACGTCCGCTCGGCTTCTTCCCATGGACCATTCGCGTCGTTCTGCGCAGTTCGTTGAACCGCGCAGTATTCCGTAGGCTATACGGCAAGAAAAAGAGGCAGACGAGGCGCCTTATTACCGGGTAATTTCGTGCGATCCGCGCGAGAGTGTTATAGGCGCGCGCGGCTGAGTTTTTGTTGCGCTGTTGGGCCATCGACGCGGCGTGGAAAAGCGCGCGAGGAAACCTTTGCACACTTATCGACTGCAAATAAAAGCCCCTGGCCTCGGGGCCAGATATATATAATGGTGCCTCGTCTCTCGGCGAGTCGCGCTGCAGATGGCCAGTTTTAACCGATATTATCGCTGCCAGAGGGCATCGCCACTATCCCAGAAACAAACAGTTTTTAGCTTTTTAGCGCTCCGGCGCGCCAGCGGCAGCGACGCCTCGCGGTACGCAATCCACTTCTGAATGCAGCCCGCGCGCGTCGCCTCTCCTCCGCGCGCTCCGTATCGCAAAAGGCGACTGCCTGTCAGCGCCGTTCAATTATCGTACGTACGAGTACGTGGCGCGGCCAGCGTCGGATACGTGCTCGCGCAGCGCTCGCGCGATATCCGTAGGCTCGATCTCTCACCGCTGCGGCGCGCGACACCCGGAAACTGACCTCGGCTCCTCTGCCTCGCCCACCCTGATCGATCGGGCGACTCCGCGTTCACACCTGCCCGTCGCGCAACATCCCTCTCGTGCCAGGAACGACTTCGCCGAGCGCGCCGCACGCTCGCGCACGCAGCCCAGCTAATTAGCGATTAGAGACGGATAAAGGCTCGCTATCGATCTGCGAGCGCGCGCCTAGCCACATTTTCAAACTCGTTCTCTGAGTTCTCTCCGTGGGGCCATTTTCCTAAAAAAACTATTTTCCTTGATCCACGTGCATTCAAGACCGACAATCGGGCTGCCTGTAGACTGTCCGCTACCTTGCGGCTAAGCATTTGCTCATTAAGCCCTCGCTCGACACGAATAACAAGCAAGATTTTTTTTCATTGTCGCAGACGAGCCGTCGGTATTCGTATGCCATCATCGTGCAAAGCCCATTCGTTGTAAAAACATATCCTCTATCGATGATCCAACTGGACAATTGTTCGACGGGATGAAAAAAAACTGATGTATCGAGGTGCGTAAAAAGAAAAAGCAAACATGCTGGCAAAATAAAGAGAGAGAAAGAGTAGAAAAAGTGCGATCGTATGGGCGCGTTATTTTTGCCGGGTGTAGCTATACGTCACATACGTACGTACACAGCTCTTCGGAAAATACGTGGCTTAATCCCCTCGTTGCGCGCCGGTCACGCTCGATACATTATTTTTAATCCCTTTCGCGATCGAAGCGCTAAATAAACCGGCACTGTATTATTTTTCAATCCCTTCGGCGCGCCATGCACAGCGGCGCGTCCATTTCACCGTCTGTTGGTCATCTACTCGCGCGAATGTGTACACGTTTCTCTCTCTCTCTCTCTTTTTGATCATGCTCGCCGCATATTATGTTGTGTCCAATCGTTTTCCTAGCACGAATAGTCAGCTTAAACATTTAGAACAAACATGTTGTCTTGCATACATTACTGTTGCAAATGTCGATTCACACAAAGGAGAAAGTTATTTTAGGATATAAAGACGCACTTAATACTTTTTCATTCGAACATTTACAAGATATGCGTTAAATTTTATTCATAAAATTGACAGTCGTAAAAACAGTAGGGGAAGAATTTGAAAAAGTTGGAGTGTGCGCGTACGTGTGATTTCGAAGGCGAGCGTGGAAAGGAAATCTAATTGAGATCGCGCGTCGCGTACATGCTTTGACGGTTCACGGACGTAATTCGATGGTCGAACGTTGCTACGTCGAACATTTACGCCGCGCGATTCTCGTTCCAAAAAGCGTGCCTATAAACAAAGAAAAACCGACGGCAACGACGTATCGACGGTAAATAGAATTGATAAGCGTGATGCCAGCGACAGCGCCGCACTGGGACTCATCGCGCTAGAGAAAGAGCCTTAATGGCGAGGAGTAGGTTTGCATATTACGCAGACTGCGCGCGGTTCCCTCGCGGGCAGCGCAGCCGGTGCGGCGCAAAAAGCGTCGACTCGTCGCGTCTCATTTGCATAATTGTCGCAACAACACGCTGACGTGCGTGTAATTGATTGATTTGCCGTCTTTCATACGCTGACCGATGACTCGCTTAATCACGCGGACGCTAATAACTGTGTTTCCGCAAAACGAATGCCTTCCGTGCGACGAAATTAATGTCCGAACGCACACTCGAATGGCCGGAGCTTATTCGCCCAAAAGACCGACCAGTTTCATTTGTCGTCCGATTTCTTTGGTTTTTTGTCGGTAGCCGCTCGGCTTTATAGTTATCATCACTATCGTATTATCGTAATCGTTATCGTTACTGTTATTGCCGCCTCGTTATTTCCGTTTATTATTGCGTCCGGACTTTCCTGCTTTTACGCTCTGAGCACTGGCGTTAACCTTAATTCATCGCGATTCGGATACAGCTCTCACTCGCCGTCCGTAAACTTGCAGAACATTATATTTCACCGTGGATTATCCTGTCCGCGTGAATAGTCTCGTGAAATTACCGTCATATGGAAATGTCTGAAATTAACTATCGGTCGATTCTGCTTTTCAAAAAAAAATGTGTATTATGTAACTCGGGCTATAGGCTATCGAATATTTGAGTCTCACGGCGAGCGAATAATAGAGTCATTGAAATTTGAGAGCTACGCGTGTAGGAATACGTGATTGTGAAATGACTTTCTCTTTTATATCGAGGAAAAACCAAGTTGGCTACGTCTACATAGCTTCCGAGCCAAGTCGCGACGAGGAATTGATGTTTGCGCGAGCTGCGACTGTCAATGTCGGCGCGACAATTCAACGATACAATCAAGCGCCGCGCAACGACAATTCCCAGCTTTATTAGATTTTTATGCAAATGTACCCGCAATTTTCGAAGGCGATTGCGCGTATATATATTTTACAAGCCGACGCTGTCGGACTGTTGTGGATCGTAGCTTGCGAGCGATATTTACTGAAACAGTCGTAAAGCTGCGAAGCTGAATTCATGAATGTCCAAGCAGAAAAGAAGAAAAAAAAATACGAATGTTTTATTAAATAGCCTATAAAAGTATCGGTTATGTCTCAATAAATAGACTGCCGACCATTTCGAGATCCTTCCAGTCCCGTGCGAGTCGTCGATTTGCCATCCTCGTTAATAACGTCATTTGCAAGATAATGGCTAGTCGATGATAATGAGGTGTCGCATCGCAATCAATCGGTCGAAGAACGGGAACAATAGAGCTCGACCCATCAATTTCGCATATATAGATGAGAGCGCGTGGTCAAGGTAAGGTATACCAAGACGAAGGATTCTTTCTGCGGACCGCGAGAACGCGAGGGGAGAGAGAGAGAGAGAGAGAGAGAGAGAGAGAGAGAGAGAGAGAGATAAGAAAGGATTAAGAGCGGCTGATTTACACGCGTCTCTCTCAGTTACCTACACGCAAGCGCGCACGCGGCGGCCGATCGCCGTGGGGATTTAACTGGTCGCCGCTGCGCGCGCGCACATGTATCTACGTGTGTGTGTGTGTGCACGCGAAAGTTATACATACATCTGATAGCTACGATCGATCGACTCTCACTCGCTAACCAGTCTCAGATGTACTAATTAGGGGAGGCTCGTTTTTCCCGAATGCGAATCGCTAATTATCCGACGAAAAAACAGTCCGAAGCTACACGCATGCCTGCAGCTCGCTTGCACTTTAGCTTGATTTACACTCGGCAGAGCCGCGGGAGCTTGCCAGCTCTCTCCAGTCTCTAACTGTCGTCGAGCCTATACACGCTCCTTTCGACACTTAACATTGTTACATACTAATGCTACGTCGAGGCACTTTCCTAACACTCCCGACTGCTTCTTATACTTCGCGTTCGAGTTCGATGTGAACTGCATCAATAGCTAATTATTTCGTGCGTGCAAAAACTTTGGATTTCCGGCTTTTCGACAATTTCTCACCAACGGATTCGAGAGAGGCATGAAATCAATCGACAATTGCATCGCTTCGTACATAAATAAACAAAGTGAAAATGCAAACGCTCCAAGCAAGCTATTCATGAATGCACAAAAAAAGCCCAGGCAACGCGCTGTTCCCTTGAATCTCAATCAGCCCGCACGGAGGAGAGGCTATTAAAAAAGACGTAACTCGCTAATATATTCGCAGTCAGTTGTGAGCGCCACGAAAAAAAAAAAGAAAAAAAAGAAAGAAAGAAAAAACAAGACGCAAGTTTTTACAAAAGAAGAGCAACGCGCATTATACTCACCCACGATCGAGCACACAGACACTAAATTAACAAAGTTTCTCGCGCGTGTAAACTTGTTAAACGCACATAAAAACGTTGTTGTTGTTGTTTTTCTTATTCTTCGCGCGCAGATTTATCACCCAGCGACGCGTACGGCAGACCTCGCGCGAATACGCGAGAAACCAAGGAAATCGGTAAATTTTATGCGCCTGGGCTTTTGTGCGAGAGCGCGCGGAGCATTTAAATCACAAAAGTCAATTTTTACGAGAGAGAGAGAGAGAGAGAGTAAAGCAAAAGGCACGAAAAAAGAGGAAAGAAAAACGAGAGTAAGCGCCTCGCTGGTTCGAGCTCTCACATGCAAAGTGGAGAGGCCTCGTTACACGCCCTTCGGACACGAGGATCACTCTTTTGAGCATAGCTGCTTATCTTATCGTGCGACTACCATTCCGAACGATCACCCATCTATTTTCGTTTGCGCGGCCTTTCTTTTCGGTATCGCACGCTCTGTCGCTTCCTTGTTTTTACAGCTTCTGTCCCTCGCAACACACACACACACACACACACACACACACACACACACGTCAGATAAACAAATTATCTCAATCCCCTTACCGACCTCGCTACTCGTCCGTCTCTAATCGCGTGACAAGTTCTTTGAAAATGCTTTAATCGCGATAATTTGTTGATGCTTCCTCGTTTTCTAAGGATGTATAATTGCTGCATTGTGTTTTGCAGAGAAAAAAAGTCAGATGGCTTTTTCGGAACGATCGTCGCGCGGTTGCAACAGAGGAAGCCGTAAAAGCGGCTAGCAGTTGGAAAAACCAAGTGTAAACGATGCATAAAAATTAAAAATCCACACGGTAAAAACTGGCGTAATATTTAAACGTCGCCTTTAGCACCGAGGTGTTTTTTTTTTCAAGTTCCATAGCCCGGCGAGAACAATTAATAAAGCTGCACACAAACTCTATACTGCGTGCGGTGCAGCATATATAGCCACGAAAAAAGCAGCATATACACAAAGCCTCGTTAAGCCACGTATTACGCATACACACGGAGAGGCCCGAGGCTAATTACCCGACGATTAGCCGCGCGTAATTACAAAGCCAGTCGCGCGCTCACGAGGGCGCGTATGTGTGCGCGCCTGTATCGAGGAGCCGAATCTCGTGAGATGACGTTGCGTGTTCTTTTTCCGCGACGGAAAGTAAGTTGTAAAATAAGTTGAGCACGGATTTTCCGTTAGAAGGTTGTCGTCGTCGCTGACGCGCGATCAGAACGCCCACGCCTACGGGATTCACACTGTTGATGCAATTAACCGCGCACACGCGTACCGATGACAGATCGGGCAATAAATTTCACCGAGAGAGAGAGAGAGAGAGAGAGAGAGAGAGAGAGAAAGTAATTTGAATAAGAACATTGAAGGGGCAAGGAACCGCCGAGGAAGTACACGCGAGTGCGTGAGCTCGCGTGACATTGTTATTATGGACTATAATTATGCAATGTATAAGGAGCGGATAAGTGACTGCAATAAGACGCCGCCGCTACTCGACATTTTATAAACTGTGAAGATTGTTCGCGCGGCGGTAAACGCGAGTGGATAACTAGGCGCGAGCGTTGGATATGTTAACCGTGGAGTATGAATACCGCGAAGCACGTTGTTGCGCTCGATAAAAAAATGATTGAGTTGCAGAGTGCATCGGTCGAGCGACGGAGCAGCGAGAGAGGAAAACGGCGAATATGAAGAAAACGGCGTGCGAGCGGGCGTATAACGCGCGAAACGCTGCGAGCACGACCGAGAGTGCGAACGCGCGAAAAATTATAAGGTTCCTCGTGGACGGGGCGCGAGGCGCGCGCGCTCGCCTTTTTTGCCCCATAAGCAGTCTTATTAGGTGTTTACGAGCGTTTTGTCGTCCCGTCCACGTAGCCGCGCGCACGGCCGTGCGCGCAGCGAAAAATTCCCGGATGAAGAAATTAAGTCTTTGGCGAGGGCCGGCGCGGCGAGCGCGCGAGGCCGATTACCCGTAATCGTCGTGAGAGCGATATTCCGAGCTGCCGAGGGCGACTTTCGTTTAATGGATTTTTAACGACGGCGCGCTTTTCTTTTTAATTGTTTTCGCGATCGCCGTCGCTTTTACGCGCTCGCGCGAGAGGCTCATCGGAATTCGATCAAGGCGCGCGCAGCCGAAGATTAATTTCGATGCGGACGGCAAGTGGGGTATCGCGATGTCGCAGTTCCGCGCCCATGGGCGTCCGACGTGGCGTCAATCACGCGGTGCACGCTCGATGCCCAATTAAAGAGCCAGAGCAGCGACGAACGGCGCGCAACGCCGCAGCTGCCTCTGCTCCCGTTTTGCGAGTTTCGTTCTAATGGCCGACGCCTATCGCCGGCGCAGCGGCTCTGCCTGCCTGCCTGCCTGCCTGTCCCTCGGTCCGACGCCTTATCTAGGTGCAGCTGCTGCCGCTACCGGCTATGCAAGCGCGCGCGACTGTGTAAACCTAGCTCTCGAGGTCTATTCTGCCGACGTTGTTTGAGCTTAATCTTCGGTCGTCAAACGAATCTCGCACGAATTGTCTGGTTCGGTGATGAGTAGCCCCCCCCCCCTCTGGCCACCCCTCTAGAAAGCCGCAGGCAGATAAAGCGTGAAAGACTGCAAGTCGGAGGAGAGCTCTCACCTGAGTTTCGGACAGCGAGAGTGCCTGAGCCAATTGCTTCCTCTCGGCCCCAATGACGTAGTGATTCTTCTCGAAGGCATGCTCCAGCTTCAACAGCTGAGACGGGCTAAACGCCGTTCTTATTCTCTTTGGCTTGCGGAAGGGCTGTAGCAGGAAGCCAGGTATGTCTGGTCCTGAAAAAAAACCAGTGAATGCCGGTAGAGTTTAGTGCTCGCTCGTAGCCAAGCTCTTCTCCGTGGGTTCGCGTGTGAAATCATGCTCCGCGGACAAATGCACGCCAGATCGGACGCATTAGCCCAGTTGAATGATTACGCAACGAGATTGGCCGAGAGAGCGAGACGGCGTGCGCGTACGCGTACCGCATACCGACAAAGTTCATCAATCTTTTTTATAATTCCAGCGCGCGCGGACTAATGATCTCGAAAATATTGAATAATGCTGTAGCGCCCGTACGGCATCAGGCAGCTCGTTAATTTTATCACTGGCTTTGTTGGCTTTCGCAACTCCGAGATTGTCCGATGCTCGTGTAGATACAGATTTACATAAGTATACGTATGTATATATTTGAAAGTCGTCGAGCTGCCATTTCATAATTTACGATCAGCTTGCAGACTCACTTGTCCAAGCTAATCATCGGAGAGTTAATTAATATCGCGCGCTCTTGTTTCCCAACGCGTGAGACTGCGCCGTGTAAGCAGAAAAGGACGCGCGCTGCTTCGGAAAGCTCGCGCGCGGTAGCGGACTCCAAAGTGCGCGCTCAATTACAAGGCACACGGCGCATCAGCGGCGCTCAAAGTGCAAAGATAAGCCCCGCAGGGAGGAGGAGGAGGAGGAGGAGGAGGCTCCTGGTTCCAAGGTAATTGCGTATTCAGCCGCGGCGCGCGGCGAGAAAGCTCACCAAGATTACGGCGCGCGCTTAACGCCGCAGCGGAAGTCGTTGGGCTGCCGGAAAGACGTAAAAACCATGCCGATAAAAGCCATCGGCTGGCACGCTCTCGCGCTCCCGAAACAACCTCTTGCCGATCGCTCGTGAACAAACCGAGCTCGATCCTCGAGATTTATGATAATTGTTGCCGGAGAGTAATACAGCGAATCGGCCAGACTTTATTTGCTATACGACTGACCTCGCCAGATTCGCTAGCTTCGGAGCACGCGAGAGAGAGAGAGAAAGTGATGAAGATTTATTTCTTGGCCGAGGCACACGCTGAGACTCGCGCGGCAGGAAAAGCCATTTGTTCTCCTTCTATTTTCAAGTGATGTTTACTCGGCAATTTAGCCTGCGAATCGCGCCTGAATACGTTCGCACTTTCGGGCGGCACTCCGTATAGTTTGTCATCGCGGGCACTTCCATTTAGGGATGCCTCGAACGAGCGGTTGCCCGCAAGTAGTTGCGCGCGCAAGATCGAGCTTTGATAAGCGACGCCGCGAAATTACGAATTAACGCGCCCGGCAAAGCGTGCGATTACCGATATCGATAATGAAATCCTCCATAATATTAATAACCATATCGCGCTCGGATCGGCAAATTGTATCTTTCATCGCGCGGCGAGTTCTCGCGTCGGCGAGCAGCTGAAAAATCCAGGTGAAAACTCGGGCTAGACGTAGCTGCGAAAGCAAAATGGAAGAGTCGGGATATAAATCAAGCGCGCGCGCAAATTGCGAATAATTGGCAAGGTATTAGACGGATTTCGAAGCTTGTGAAGCGAGTCGTTAGAGATACAGAGCCCCGAAGGAAAGTTTTCTCGTTTAGCCTTTACTTTTTGCGCTCTCGAAAGAGAGAGAGAGAGAGAGAAGAGAAGAGCCGAGCAAGGAGAAGAGGAGGCCCGAGGCGTGCTCTCGCGCGCATATAATTACGCGTACGCGTATAGCCAGGCTGCATTATCCCTGCATGCTAATACGCGCGCGTGCGTGTGTGTAAGTGACGGCCTCGTTTCGCGAACGCGTCAGATGCGATTGAAATTGTTGGCCTTTTTTTGTTTGTTCCCGAGCTCATATTGAATTCTCTATTATTGCCAGAGAGAGAGAGCCTCGCGGCAGCGCACCTCATTTGTATCGCTGATGAATTCGTCGAGCCATTAAGCGCGCGTAGGATGCTAACGGTTTTTCACGCGCAAGAGGCTAATTTGATTGCTGGCGCTGCGTTTAAAATATTTCAGCGCGATTATCGGTCTACGCATCCTCGGCCGATTGCTGTGCAAACATGATTTTACGCGCGTAAAACGAAGCGAAGAGCGCGCAACGCGCAAATTATTTTCTGCCGGCTGGCTTTTTACGAGCGCGAAAGGAGCTCTTTTCAAATGACGAAAATTGCGCCGCCGAAATATGCAAAAATCCATGTATTCCAGGTGCGGCAGCAAGAAAAATTGTTATTGGCATTGTCTTCGGAGGCACGGCGCACACGCGGCCCAACCGAGCGCACCGCGCTGCGAGCGTTTATCTGCGCGGGGCAATCTCTTAATGACTTACTCTTGTATTCCAGCGAGCGTTTCAGTTTCCTCTCTGTCTGCGCTCGGAAAGCTCGAGACAGGTTGGAAGCAGGCCGCGCTACCGTTTTACGAGCGCGAGCGCGCGCCCACGCGGCGCGGCAAGCTCGGTCCCCGAATTATGCGTTCCTCGCGAGAGCGAGCTTGTCAAATTGTGTTGCGCGCGATCGAGGCTCTCGGGAATGTGCCCGGGGAGATGCCCGGAATGTGCCGCGATGCGCCCCGGAGATTTCGCCGCTTTTATTGGCCCAAGCTCGTAAAAGTTGCTCGACAAAAATGCGCCTCGCCTAATTAGCCAAGCCGAATTCTTCTGGTCAAAGCTACGGGACGATGGCTTTCATTTTTCTGTCAATTACCAAGCTGGTTATTAGCCGCGCGCCACCGTTCATTTTTCCCGCTCCATACACTGTTTCAACGTGCTCGACGCGTTCGCGTCCGTTGCACGTGGGAATGTGTGGCAACGGTGCGTATATTAGTACATCATGCGAATAACCAATGAAACGCGCGTGCAAGATTTATCCGCTTCTCACCGCTCGCTATCTCTCGTATTTATCGTACACCAATCATAGTAGCAATTACAAGCGCATTAATTTACAAATGCGCGCAATAATCGAGCATTTAATTGCCTCCTAATGAATGATTTGTCCATTAATAACTCACAATTCACCATTTTTTCCGACTCTCGTTAGAATCGAGAGAGTCTTTCGTCGTTATACGACGATCAGCGTGACAGAGAGAAAAAAGAACATTGTAACGCATCAAGGATAAAACGCGTGTAAAAAGTCCAACAACCGTATATATATATATATATATATATATATATATATATATATATATATATATATATATAGAGAGAGAGAGAGAGAGAGAGAGAGAGAGAGAGAGAGAGAGAGAGAGAAGGAGAAATGGGGAGTCTAACCTATTGACGCGCGATACATTAAATGCAGTTTATCCCGTGATTTACATAATTATATTAATTTGCAGTTTGCATTAATAGCGCTGTAAATTGTCGACTCGTTTCGAAATGTATGCAGCGCGGCTTCGTTCGCCAATTTATGCGTGTCATCGTCATCAATATACACCATGCGCCTATAACCGTTAGAATCAATAAATAACTCTGCTTCTTTTCTGAAAGCAATATCTAATAAATAATAAATCCTGCCTATCAATCACACTAGCGAAAGTTCAACATTCATTATTTTATTGAGGTTTTTTAAACTCTATTATACGAACGATTATATTATCGAACAATTGAATCAATCAATCTGCGATGTATTAAAATGACATTTCCCAATCTAGCAGTCTAGAATCTCGAGCACGTTGGCTGATCAATTATGCGTTATCGACGCAACGCGCTTTTTGCTCCGATGTTCATAAAAATGTTGCCATTATCGCGCAAACCTAATCTAATAGAGGTTGCGCGCATTCCAGGCGCTGTATACATTTACGTGTTTCCGCATTAAAAAAAAAGGAAAGAAAGAAAGAGAGAAGAGAAAAGAAACGACTTTGCACGTCATAAAAGCGATACGAACTGGTGTAAATGAGACCTTGAGTAAAACTGAAAGAAGAACAAGAACAAGGCGAGGCCCCAGAAGCACGTTCCGTCATTGTTCGCCTGACGCGCACTCGACTTAATCTTTGGCGCGGACTGATTGGCTTTCGGCTCAATCAGCGCGTTAATGAGTCCAGCTCGAATGTAATGACGGAACGAAAGGCCGGCGATCGGCCGATACGCGCGCCGATGTCGGAGGGCCGGAGCTTCGGATGCGAGTGTGAAATTCAGTAACGCGCGTAAACAAAGAATTCGGTGGCGCAAGTGCGCGGAGGGGCCATTGCGCAAGCTTTCGTAATCGGAATTTCGTAAGAACTGCCGCTAGCCCGTATTTTATCGCGACAGCGCGCGCGCCAGCCTTAATACGTACACAGCGCACGGGCTCGCGCGTACAGTCGCGAGCGCGGCTCGAGGCGAGAGGAAGCGACGTTATAATTGAACGTGTCCCTCTATCGCGCCCGCGACTCCAAAGTACAGATCTTGCCTTCGGCCGCGACGAGCGACACGTCATGGAGAAGGCCACTGCAAGCGCGAGTGCATCAGCCGATGATCTCCGACGCTACTCGCGCGGCGCGAGATTTATCGCTCGCTGCTTTATTGGCGACGGATGTGGGTTATTATTTTCGTAAATCACTTTAACGAGCCGCTCAATGCAACACCACGTCTGCGCGATTAGCGCACGCGTATAAACGCCTTTTATTTATTCTTTGTTTTATGAAGCTCAAAGTGGCTTGGCTGCGAGCGAGCGAGCCTTGCAACCGCCTAATGAGTTATTTAATGCACTTGGCAAAGGCAAACATTTGAATTATTGCTCGGCTGTGAATCATTCTAAGGCTCCTTATTGACTGTTGGCGCGATTTTTCCCAATTCAACGTTGAACGTTTAAATTGCTCACACTTGACCTCGTTTCATATACTTCTGATGTTTATATAGTTGCACGAGTCGAAGCTAATTGGCCGCGCGCGAGCGCGCTGATTGGAAGCGAAGTACGCGCAATTTGCTCTGCTGGCGATTGTAGAAGAATTACTTTCTGGTGAAGTAATGCCGCGCGCAACTGCGCTTGCGAGCCTGTGCGTACGTATCGTTATGGAAGAGGCGTGAAAAGAGGATGTACGAAGGGTTGACTTGTTACAGCGAATCATAAATTGTTCAACGTCGTAAGTAAAGACATTAAAGTAATGACAATTGATAGTTTCGCTTTACAACCGCACGCGCCTCAGACGCGGAGAACGTTCTAATTACTTGCGCGGAGCTGCCCGAGCTGAAATAGCTTGGAAATGAGAGTACGACTTATTTATCGCCGTGGAATAGAGTATTCATACATTATTAATTTTCACATTTTTCCGAGCGTACTGCACGAATTACATAAGGGTGTTTTTCTCCAGCGCTCGCCGACGACGAGTCAGAGGCCGTCAAACCAAAAGTCCCACGTATTTACAAAAGATCGCTCGAGGAGGCCACCTGAGCGCAACAAAACCCGCGCGAGGCACTCTGCCGATTGTCAACGCGCAAAATAGAGACGTGCTACAATGGGGCAAAAAAGGTCGGAGAATGAGAGACACCCGAACCAATCCCCCATACAACGCTGACTTTCTCACTCCTCGGCAGTTTTCTGTGCTGCTGCTGCTGCTGCCGCTGCTGCTGCTGCTGCTGCTGCTGCCGCTGCTGCTGCTGCTGCTGCTGCTGCCGCAGCTGACGGTAGCTCTGCCAAGCCGGGGCGTATCGAGTGTCTTGCCGACGAAGAAGAATACCACGAGGGAAAAAAAAAAGAAATACGCCTCGCCGAGAGAGTCCACGCGGGAAAAGACGTCCCGCGGCGATGCTCCGCCGGACACAAGCGGCACCTTAATAATGCAGCCGATTAAAGGATTTTTTGCTCTCCACTGTATCTTCGAGCGCCCGATTTTTCAGCGGCCTTCGCTTCCTTTTTTTCTAGTTTTATAGCCCCCATTCCAACGCCTCTCGACTGCCACTCAATTCAACTTTGAAATCCGATCGTTGTTAGTCCCGCATTTCGACTTTTCTTCACAAGCTCGCGCGATCGTTCAAAGGGCTTTTTTTGGACGACACCAGGCCAACGCGCGCCATTCAATAAAATCTCATCCAACGAATCGAAACGAACGAGCATTGTTTCAGTCAAATGAAAGCCAACCAAAGGAAAAATTGCGGAAACAAAGGAAAAGTCCGAGAGGGGCTTTTGTGGTCATCAAACGAAGCGAGTCAGCCGTTTCCGCGCTCTGCAGCCACTCGCGCGCGATACTGCCCGGCCTCGCCCCGGCACCATGAGATGGCGAGCGAGAGCTCGATTTTTCCGACGGGACCAGTTCCGTCGCGCTCTCGCACACACGCGCGCTCCCCAATCGGAACGCCATCGCACGAGCACTGTTCCGTCCGACAGCAAGTGCACTGATTGATTCGGCTAATCGTTCCAAAGCAGCGCCAGTTGGCCAGAAAACAGAGTGAACGTGCGATCGAAATTTCCACGAGCAGACGACGGTCGGCATCGGAGGCAGACAAGCGAAAGAAAAGTCCGAGGAGCGACCTACCTCCGGGAAACCGCTGTGGAAAGATGCGGCCGTGCCGGGACAGCAGCCAGGGGTAGAGCGGGTAACTGTCTCTGGGCGGCTGGTGCGGGTGAGGAGGCGGATGGGGCCCGGTCGGGCCGCCTGCGTGCGGGTAGGGTCCATGCGGGGGCCCGTGGTGCGCCTGCAGCGCCACGGCGAGGTTAGCCGCCTGGAAGTGCTGAGCCGCGGCGATGTTGGCCGCCAGGGCCAGCTGCTGCGAGTGGTACTCGCTCTGGGCCTGGGGCCCGCTGGCCGCGTGGGCCGCGGCCGGCAGGCCGTAAAGGCTCTTGAGCTGCTCGGCGGCGACGGCGGCCGCGGCCGCCGACGCGGCTCCCGGCGGAGGGCCCAGGTAGTTGGGACTGGGCCTGACGACCCCCGGGGGTGGCTGGGGGTGCTGCTGACCGGAGGGGGGCGGCGCCACCGGCGACTCGCTGCCCCGCCTCGGCGGACTCGGCGACTCGTTCGGCGACGAGCCGCCGCTGTGACTGCGATTCGTCAGCGAGCGCGCACTGTAATCCAGACTCGGCCGCGGCGCCGGCTGCCGGTGGTTGATCCTGTGGTGGTGCTGCTGTTGCTGCTGATGGTTGGCCTGGTGCTGGCCGTGATGCGACGGCGTTCGCCGCGAGTTGGGGTACGACTCGACGGAGGAACTTCTGGAGTGCGGCCTGTCGGACTCCTCGGAGTGGCCGCCGGGCGAGCGCGCGCCCCCGCTGCCGAGTCGCACGCGAGTCCTCGGCGGCGAGGAGGAGCCGCCCTCGATGTGGTGGTGGTGGTGGTGCTGCTGCTGCTGCTGCTGCTGCTGGTGGAGGTGGTGGTGCTGGTGGTGGTCCGAGGGCGGCGAGGCGAGGTCGGCGTCGCGCTCGATGTCCATGCGCGTCTCGGCGAGCCGCGTGGAGGGCGGCGCCGGCTCATTGTCCTCGGCGTTGTTGCGGCCGCGACCGCCGCCGACGATCGAGTCAATGCTGAAGCCGATCTTCGGCTTGGAGGGCACCGGCACTATTGGCGTCGGAGCGAGCGGCATCATCGTACGCGGCGACTCCACGCCCAAGACTGCACCTCCGATCTTGAGGATCACTTTGAAGGCTGCTCGCTCGCACCACTGCGTGTATACCTCGGCGAGTGGGCGATTCGATCAAGTCCGCGCTGACAGCTCAGCAGCTCCACATTGTCCCGGCGACAGTCGCGGAGGACGAGGACCGAGAGCAGCCGCCCAGTCAACACTGCTCGGCGCTCGCTCGCTGCCGCTCGCTCGGAACCGTGGCGGCAAGCTCGTGCGAAGAGCCGACGCCTCTGAGCATCGCTGTGAAGGTCAGCTGGCCGCGCGCACTGATAAGCTTAGCACTCCCGGAGCGGATATCGATCGGCGAAACGGCCCCGCCGCGTCACTGCGCACTCGCGGCTGCTGCTCTGCGCTCTCTGGCTGAACGAGACTCGCGCGAGCACTCGAGCTGCTGCTGCTGCTGCTGCTGCTGCTGCGGCTGCGGCTGGCACGGAGGCTTGCTGGTGTTTGAGAGAGGAAATTACCGGCTAAACGCCGCTCGCCCGGCGGCTCTCGCGCGCCGACAGAGTGGGGGAGTCGAGCCTACGCCCCCCACCACCGCCGACGGCCGCGCGAGCCGCGGGCTCGGCCGGCGCCCGCGGGGGCCTGGCTTCGCGGGGGCGGGCCGCGGCCGCGACTCGGGGCGTGGCCAGGCCGCTCGGCGATTGGCGGCCGGGGGACGGACTCGCGCGCGGCTCGCAACCACGATGGAGCGCCGAGGCAGCGGTGACTGGCCGACCGCGTCGCCGGGTGGGGGTAGTCGCCCCGTCGAGCCGAGCGGCCAAGGGCGTGGGGGCAAATGAGCCGGCGGGAGAGCCAGCATTAGCCCGATCATGGGCGTTGGAAGTGATGCTGTGTTTGCCTTTGTTCCCTCTCTCGCTCTCGGCAACTCGACTCGCTTCTTTTCTCCGCGCTGCTCTCTTTTTTGCCTTTTTTGTCGACGTGCCATGAAAATGAGCCGTTTAATTAATACGTCTGGGAGAAGCTCGGTAACCGAGCCGAGTGTGTTGTTCGTCGCACGTTGCTTCGTATTTTTTTTTTTTTTTTTTTTTTTTTTTTTCCGCCTCTTTTCTTCGTCGCAACGCGGACGATGGACAGGGCGAGGAGAGGGGCGGAAATCTGCCACTCTCGGCTACGCGCTCCTGCGTGCGTGCGCTTGCGCTAACACTTTTGTTACGCGTACGCGCGCGAGAGCAGGATCTTTTTAACCCCGTCTGCGGCGCATATGGCGAGATATGTTAATTTTCTATTCGATTGCGCTGAGTATTACATTTTTTTTTTCGCTCTAGCGAGCCAGATTGACACCATTATGCTGCATTAACAACCGCAGCTTCCATATATTCTGATTGCAGTTTCTTGCCGATCTACCCGAGTCAAGCTGTATTATCAACGTTTCAGTACAACCAACTGATTCTTTTCGGGCCTGCTTTCTTTGTTGTTGAAAGAAACAATAATGGATAGGTGATTTACGCGCTCTATAAAAATATTAAGTCTTTTTAAAAACTGCAGTGGCAAAGTGCTATACGTTATAATTTTGTAAGATAATATCCCGTAATATCTAGAGCTAAAATTCAGTTTCCATCAGCAGTATGGAACATGTGCCGTATTGACGTTCTTTGACGCCTCTTTTAACAGTTATTTTTCTTTGAGCGACACATGAAACGTTACAGCCATTATAATGAATATAATATATCACATTGTTTCGGCCTGTCTCGCTTTTGTCTTTTCGAAATTCATCATGTTGGAAAGATCTGTACGCAGACTTTCAGGATCACATTCACGTGCAGGTGTTTCAATTTTCAAGAAACGTGTCCAAAAACTGGTTCAACATGGAATTTCGTGTAATCTTAGTTGTTGTTCTTGTTTACAATAATTTTTATTATTAACAATCTCTAAAGTATTTGTCAATCATATCTGTCGGGTATTTATTTTGTATTCAAGTATTCATCGCTAATTGTACTTCTGTTGATTTGTGCAATTTTTTGTAGGTTAATTTTATTATTAACGACATTATAAATCATTAGGATAATAAGCTATTCAATGAACAGTTGATTACGTAGAACTTTTATTGTATAAAAAAAATTTTTTTTATGATTTATATACTATATATACGAACCAAATTTCGATTTAATAACTTACAAGTAACTTAATTTTTTAAATTACATAAGAATATATGATAAATATTATTTAATGTTGTAGTCGGGATCAAAGAAAATCTCAAAATATCTACTGAAATTATTAAGCAATTAATTGATAAATCTAATATAGAACATAACTGAATTCTAAAATATCGAATAAAATCGATTACACCCAAGATTATTATTTATTATTGTTTTTAATTTAATGATGCATATTGTTTAAATAGTCAAAATAAATGACTGTATTATATTTATATAAAGATCACTATACAACTGTTACATATGCTACAGGTAATGTTCGGAATTAACTAGAGCCTTAAACTCTAGCCAAAACGCTTCCATAAAGCTGGCCCAAACCACTAATGTCGAATTTTAGTTGGGTTGCGCTAGCTCTAGTCAAGTACCTGTGATTATTGTTGTCTGCTTATATATCATTACGTTCTTGTTATTAGTAATTCTCACACAGACCTTATTTAGCAATAGACTCGAAACCGTTAAAATGGCAGAAGTTGATTGAATGAAACCCAATTTCAATGAACACCTACAAATATTAGTCTGCGTCAAAAAGTATAATTGTTTTTACGTATCTCTTCGTAGTATTGTGAGTTAATCGATTCAATTGTAATTGAAAGAAACCGCTGTTTTGAGAAAGCTACAGAGTTGATGTTGGAAACGCTATGATGTTTGTTCAATCGGAGGTGTACAGAAGCTTGTTGTTCCCGTGAAAAAAAGATTGCAGGTGAATCGTCACTACTAAACTATGTTAAAAATTAAAAAATGTTTGATTTATAGCATAATGTTCGTCTTTCCGTGGGGCGCTGAAGAAAGCATTCAATACTATCTGAAGTAACAAAGAATATAAGAATGTTTTTTAAGGAATAGTTTTATTATTGTTTAAGATATCTATAGTTTTATAATGTGTAAAATAGCCATTAAAATTATTGTTTTAATTCAACCACAAAACAATTAATTTTCTTGATTTGTCATTTGCGTGATTCTTACCTATAGTGAAATCAACATTAATATAATACTAGCTGTAGCTGAGTAAAATTTGATTTTAACTGGATAAAGATTGATCTTGGCTTTGTGGACTGACTTCATCCAAAATGGCTGGCTAAAGCTAGCCCTAGCTGAATAAAGCTGACATTAGCCAGAGTCTGGATTTTAGCCGTAACACACACACAACATATATAACTTATGTGCATAAAAGTTACATGTGTGTGTGTGTGTGTGTGTGTGTGTACAAGAGATAGTTGAAACTATTGGGATAACAGAATGTTCGAGTCGTAACGTTTTCAGCTATTCGATACTTTTTTTGTTATTTCGCAAGTAATAGAGTTGTGATTCCAATTCTATTGAAACTACCCTCACTGGATTCGATTTCCATACACAATGCTTTCGCACACTCCGCTTACACAATATAGGTGGAAAAAGTCTTTTTCGAGGTAAAGAAGAAAAGGCAAAAAAGCATTTGTGAAATCGAATCTTATAGTCTACGTAGTGGAGCTGTTACCAAACAATTTTTTCAGTTATCCAACCCTTTTTTATACGGATAACGGATTTTAGTTGCCATTCTGTACTTTAAAGCAGTTGTACAGCACGTTTTTTGATAATAAAAGATTAACAAACAACTCCATGCAGTTTTCTAAAAGCATATATATTATAGTTATGACAAAAGTAAAATTGAAATTTATATAGGTAATGGTTTCTAAAATATTATGGAAATTTGTTATAATAATAGTAAGTAACTTTCTTACGAATACATTTTTCGAGCAACCTATTATTGCGACAGTCATTAATGGAACGATTTATATTTATAAAATTAATTATTTAAAGTTCAGGTGATTTTATAAAAATAGAATTTTCTGTAGTATATAAAGAATACTATGATATTTATAGGTATTACAGGGAATTGTTTAATTTTATAATTGTAAATCGTTCGCTATTTATACAAAAACAAGTGATTGAGAGAGATTTGTTTTAAAAATCCCTGTGAAATTGCCGAGAGCAGTGTCGAAGTAGAAGAAATGAAAAGTATTTTTCATCAATCAGAGATAATGAGGCGAAAGTGGTGGTAAAAAGAAAGAGGAGGAAAAAATTGGCGAATATTGCGAGCATCGTAGGATGCACATACATGGTATTAAGCATTGATTCGACATATTTCATCAGTGATTCAAGCGATGGCGTGCTCGAGTAGTTCATTATGGCTCATTACCGTGGTGAGCCTCCGCTTCACGTGCATGCGCTGCTACAGCGCCACGACGAGGGGCAGCGCGGGCTCGGGAGAAAGAAAGAAAAGAAAATGATTTTCAGATCATAATGTACAGCTGGCGCGCGCGCTCGGATATATCGCGATGGTCCCTCGTTGGTTGCTTGCTTGGCGCGCATGTATATCGCGCATAGGCACTTAACCGTAAGCAGTGTAAGGGGAGGTGCCAAGTCCAGCCGGGAATTAGCGACTATTTAAGCAAATTGATCGGCTCGTTTCAGTGCAGTGCGCAGAGCCGCGAGCGCATACTTCTCCTCGACGCCGCAACGCAAGCCTCTCGCTCTTGGTTGCGTGACTCCGCTCGCACGCGCTTTTTGCTCGCGCGTCTCTCGCGAGACGCAAAAAATTGCGCACCTTCGTTTTTTTCTCTCTTTGTTGTTTTCTTTTCTTTTTTTTCGGCAGAGGGGGGGGGGTACTTTTGCCGCGCGCATACGCCAAATTCATGCTGATTAAAAACTCGATTTACCAGTTTTCTCCTGCGAACTTCTCTTCCTCCACGCAACGCTGCACTCCTTTATCCTTCGCATACTTCTTCGGCCTCGGCGTTCTTGCGCCTTTGCCAACTTCGTATTGTCTTCGATGAGGTGCATGGCAGTTAGATGTGCCAATTACACCATGCATTTAACGCCAAAATGAGACTGATTAAAGGTGAAATAAATGATATTGAAGAAAGAGTAGGAGTAATAAGTTATGTATGATGACGTGTATTTTTAATGAAAATTTAAGGCATGTCCATAGTCGAAAGATTGTTTAGAGTAGTCAGAAATTGTTTATAAGAAATTCTACATGAAGTAATTACGACGGCAATCGAACAAAAAAAAAATGACGAGAAAAATGATGTAAAAAAGGGAAGCGAGTAAGGCATCCGGGGCAGGTGGCGAAACGAATTTAGCAGGAGCACGCGCATTCAGAAGCAAATTTCGGCAAGTTAGTTATTGCCCATGAATATCCATGGACCTGCAGAACAAGTTAACTGCATGCGCTTTCGATGATAGCTAACCCGCATGTAATGGAGTGTTAACTGCCGACCACCGAAA